AGCCGGTCGTTTTTTTGGTCTCGGCTTGAATAAGCAAAAAATACGCATTATTCGAGCACGCGTTATTAAACGGGCCCCCACATTAACCCTGCACCCTCCGCCTTGAGCTTCACAAGCACCAGCTAAAGACATCACCGCTCCTCATAGTCGATCCCAGAAGCACCCGCTTGAAACGCACATCGATGGCATCACGTTAAAAACGAGCCCATTCCCCATGCTTAGTTCCGGAAGCACCAGCTAGCGGCAAACATCAGTGGCATCACAACACATCAAAACTAGCAATTCACCAAGCAGACGCTCAATTCCACAAGCACCCACTCGAGACAAATGCACCTAAGTTATCATCAATGACATCACAGCACATCAAAGCCAGCCGTTCCCCATGTAGATGCTTTTCCACAAGCACCCGTTCGAGACCCACATGTAAGTAATCGCCGCTGGCATCACAGCACTTCAAAGCCAGCGATTCCCCATGTCGACACTCGATTGCAGAAGCACCCGCTCGAGGCATACATCTATGGCATCACAACACATAAAAACCAGCCTGTACACATGTTTACAATACAGCTTGTCAGGCGAGTCAGTACGAAAGGACATGAATCCCAATCCCCGTTGTAGGATTGGAAAATCAGAATCTCAACACCCCAATGTGGACGCTGCCGGAAGCATGGTACACAAACAACGGGCACAAACAGAAGTGGCTGTTTGTGTTTTGATTCCCGAGTGTGGATGCTGATCAACCATGCGATGAGAGATAAAGCCTAATTACTACTGCTACTGCTACTGCTACGGCTACGGCTACTGCTACTGCTACTGCTACTGCTACTACTTCAACGACTACGACTACGACGACTACGACTACTACTACTACTACTACTACTGCTACTACTACTACTACTACTACTACTACTACTGCTACTGCTACTACTACTACTACGACGAGTACTACTAGCAGCAGTACTAATGCTACGAGTACTACTATTACTACGGCTACTACCTACCTAGCTACCTAGCTACCTACCTGTCCATTCCCACCTGCCCAGCTGCCTGGCTGCCTGCGTACCTGCCTCCACCCTTCATTCTTCCCCGAGCTGCGAGACCTTATGAAGAAAAATACTCGGCGCCCGGCGTCCGTTGAAGCAGAAGCAACTGCTGCATGGGCATTGCCCTTAGTTCCACAACACAGCAGAAAAACAGAAAGGCCTTGTTCCTGCAGACTCTACCAGATCCCGCAAGAAGCAAGACAATTCCTGGATTCCTGTGATACCATGATGCAGCTGTTCGGAAAGCTGTTTCCATCCGAATGGGTGACCGTAACTGCCCATCACGCGGCTGCTGGCGAATCTGCTTGACAGATGACTCCTAAGTGCTCAGCTGCAGGAGTAGCCATGTCTGGCGCTGGTCTTCTTCCGGCTCCAGCACAGGCCTCAGAGGCTCTTGAAGGCTCGTAAACTTCTGCGACCACTACCACGAGGCTCTAATACTCATCCTGCTGCGGCAGACGAGTTCCAGAAACGTGCAGACTTTGACGATAATCTGTCATGTCACAAAAACAAGATTCAGTTGCCAGTTTCACTGGAGCATCTAAGCGGGGTAAAGAGACATGGTAGCTGCAGACTGGTTGCAGCACCTTGCTTACAGATGAGATTGCGACGGAAGTTTTTTGTTAACTGTTAACGAGAATCCTCATGGCTCACCATCTCGCAACCTCAGAGGATCATCAGCAGACAACGGCAACAATGGACCAGCGGCAGCGGACATCGGCACAACGCAGTCAGTCCCTAGGCAAGGCTGCAAAGGACACGATAAAGAGGCAGAGAAAGACACCTGTGGGCGACGGGAAAGAATCAGAGCCGTCATGCAAAAAGCTAAGCAACAGCGATTTTGGTGGCTTTCGTCGGTGCTCCTACGGCACTGCGCTTTTGCAAGGCCCTGGCTCCTCAGCCATGCCCGCATCTGCTTCGGCCACTTCGGCGCTGGACTCCGGCGGATCCGGTCCCGGGGCTTTTGGAGCCAATTGCAGCCACGCCTTTTGCCAGCCGGCTCGTGGGCTCGTTGCGTCGGATCATTGCAGCTGAGAAGAATTGAAGAAAGGCGCCTCCAGACTCGGCCGCTGTGATGCATAGGCTTCCTCTCCAAGTAGCACCTGCCAAACTTCTCTCAGTCCCAGAGTAAGAGGCGTGGCACGATGTCTTGCAACCCATGGCTTGGGCACCAAGACGCTCAGAAGGTAGAAGGCCAACCTCGTACTGAGATGTTGATGCATCTCAAACGATGACTTAGGACGGCACATCCAGGCGCTGGACGGCAGGTGAAAGTCAGGGAGGCCTGATCAAGAGACGGCATGAGATGCAAGCAGAGTTACCCGTGCATGCACGCCCCATACATTCAAGCACAAGCAATCATGTAAACTCAGTTCAGTTGACAAGTGCACGAAGACCACAAACGCGCCGCCGTCGACACCGACACCCACTCACTCACACAAAACCAATAATTAAACACGCACAAACTGAATGCGCGAACGATGTCAATGAATGCCTGTCCTGGAACAGACGAAGTGAGCACGTGGGATCGCTAGTATCACTGTCATGAAGGTATTTCTGCCTGCCCGAACTGCCCGGTCTTCCCCGGCAGTTCGGAGCTTCCGATCGACTGTGCTTGCACAGGCATACAGTGGCACACAGAAGCACAGCATTATGGCATAACAACTCCGGCATTGCCGCCTGCGACCGTGTTGAGATGGGCTGCTTATGTTACATTGACTGCCACAGAGTAGCACGGCGCAGGTGCTTGACGCATCATATCGAAAGTCGCTAAGTCGTGATGGCGGTGTCAGGTAGCCACTGAACTCCTGACGCCCCTGCACTCAACTATATACAAGTTGTTGCAAAAGATCGCCAAGGTGTCGGTCCGTTTTGTTCTTCAGTGGGGCCAAGCAAAACTGACGAGTCGACAAGAAAAGCTGCGTGAACGCAGGAGTTTCAAGCAAGCTGCAATCCCACCCGCAGGCACGCAGGCACATGCAGGCACATACGCTTGCGCCCATCCAAACACCAACACACCGACACTGCGTGCCTAGGTGAGCAGTCAACTTGCGAAGGCGCAAGCGGATGCAAGCGGCTTTGCTTATAAAAAAAAAAGGGGCGTCATGTGTGACTCTCGGTGTCGACATGGGAGAGTGCTGAAAGTTCGCAGCGGCCCGGCCTCGGCCCCAGGGGCCATCCCAGACGGCGACCTGCGGCTCTTGCGGATCTTGCCGCTACTGCGTCGCTACTGCGTCGCTACTGTCTGCACTGTGTGCGGGGTCGAAGCTTCCTGCAGGCCTTGGAACAGAGCACCAACAATCCCACCACGGCTAACCTCGCTTCATCTCGCTTCCAGGGAAAAGCCGGACGACACTGCGAACTCTGGGCTTCGTGCTGGGCTGGGATCGCATTTTTGAGGAAAGGCGCCAGCACCTGGACGACAAGTCCCTCGCCCGCCACAAAGGCAATCTTTTTCAGAGATTTGCCCATCTGTGGTGAGTCTCGGCATGTGAGAGTGTGGAAAAAGAATTCATCCCTTCCGAAATTCCGGCAACGAGTGCGCGTCATGCGAACTCATGCGAGCGATGCCGGCGAGGTGCCGCGAAAAAGATGCACACGTGAATTTCACTACACCACCTGGACCGGCAAACAAGATCTGCTCTCGAACCTAATTCCGTCATCTAAGAAGCGCTTCAGGCCCATGCTAGAAAAACACAGGCAGCCGCAGCCGCAGGCAGCTCGGGAAGCGCCTGCCGGGCACTGGCGGGCTTGGGCGGGTTTGCATCCGAGCTGCTGGGTCCAGCGCTGGGGGCCCGGGCGAGTGCCAGGGCACTGGCCAGGCCCAAAGCCGACGCGCCGGACGCCCAATCGCCCAGTGCCAGTACGAAGCCACTGCCGCGTTTCCAGGCCACCTCAAAAGAAGCAAGAGACACAAAGAATTGAAATTAAAAGACATCAACAGAAGACAAAAACAAAAGACGGCAAAGACGTCACCTGATTCGCGGCCACAGCGAGGCAGGAGCTGGCCGTGTAGGTCAAAGACGAAGCCTGGGAGAAAAGCATCTGTGATGTGCCCTAGAAATCACCTCCTGGTGACATGGACGGCGGATGATGGACAGACACATTGGGGGCGAGGATTGTTTTTGTAATTTTAGGGTTGTTTTGTGCAATTGTTGGGTTTGTTTTGCTTATCGCATGGGTTTCGGAACAGTACCGATGGCCCTGAATATCATATCTTTCTGAACGGGGTGCTTTGTCGTGCATTTGGTTTTTGTCTGTCTATTTTTTGCTATAGGATGTTCATGGATTCCCATTGCTTTTTTGGGGGGAACCCAATGGGTTTTGACAGTTTCTGGACAATAAGGGCTGTAATGGAATTCTCATTGTCACATTTTGCAGGTTTCTGCTTGCAGCATATGTACAACTGCAATAATCTGCAGTACTTGTATGTACTGTACTAGTTTGCACAAAAAAGTTACGTTTTTCAAACTGGCAATAATGATATTAATCATAACCATAATCAAAACAATCAAAGGTTCTTGCCGAAAACATCCATAGCAGCTAAACTAGTACTACTAACAAGTAACAACAATAGCAAACACAATATAGTACTCATATACTCATGGCACTGAACGTACTAAAAATAATAAGAGTAACAATAGTAACCAGGTGCAGTTACAATCATAATTATGAAAAGTTAGAATCATACCGACAAAAACATTGCAATAATAGTAATAATAGTAATAAGCATAGTAGCGAAAACAGCAACATTAACAGCAGGAATAAATTGGCAGCGGATACTCCGGACAGCAGGCTGCCAGGGGCAGTGGGAAAGATGTTCCGGACAGCAAGCTTGCATGGCTCACAGAAAAGCGGAGGGGCTGTGCACAGCCCCCCCTGTTGGGGCTTCGAATCCAGATGAAGCGAGCTTTCACAGCGAAACAAGCGGGGAGGTGGAGGGGGGTTGCGAGCATGACGAGCTTGAAAGGCTTCATCCGAGTTTTGTGTTGGAATTTTGGTTGACGGCGACATGTTCTTGAACGCAAGCTTGCCCGGTTCACGAAAGCGGCGGGTTGGGGGGCGGGCAGCTCCCCCCTTGGCAAAGGGTTCGTAATGGTTCGTGTCGCATGTGCTGCTCTTTTCGGCTCCATGTTCCTTGAAGCAAGCCTGCCCGACTCAACACAGCGAAGAGGGTTCTGCTCTTGATGGTACGATGCCCTAAAAGAATCCTGTACGGATGAACAAAGCGGTGGGGGGGCCGGGGGGGGGGGGCGGGGGTGCGAAGCCCCCCAAATTTGGCAAGTCGTGTTTTTGCCTCTGTTTGTTTCTTGATTTCTTTCTTTCTTCTGCTCTTTCTTTATTTCGCTTCATGCCCGTCTATGCCTGGGCTGCTTCCCGCAAGAAAAATGACCAACAAGACCAAACAAATGCCAAGAACAAAACCACAAACTGACAGAGCACACATACCCTACCCATAAATTGGCAGTGTGAATCTTCCAAACTAGAGGGACCGTGGACCTGTTGGAACTTGCACGATGCTGCATGGGCGCGCCTGGAGGAAGAACAACAGGTTCACCAGGTGACCCTGCATCCTTGGGACCGGAACAAAGAGCTGCAAAACGGAGAATGCAAGGTTGAACTAGCACGAATACTGCCCAACATAAAAGCCATCATCCATTACTCAATAACTCCAATCAGTAGGGCATGTCACACTCCTTCTATCTCCGTCAATGCATTACTTGCATCCAATCATCCAACAGCGCATCAATCCACACCACAATACTATGAACTGTATGAATCTCCTCCAGAAGAACGGACACTGCTGCGGCACAACAGAATCCAACCCATTTGGCCCGGCATACACCAGACACAAGTTTCTCAACCGATAATGCTTTTTGGTGACCAAATGCTGTCGGCTGTCGATGACCGGATCGACATTGCTGAATTAGACAGTAGAACAACAAGTTAACTTTTGCGAATGCAACCGAAGGTGAGGCGAAGCTGAAAGCCAAGGACACCGGAGTGAACGCTTACCAAGGATCAATGTCGTCTCCTTACTTCGCTGATGGAGCATTGAAATTGAGCCCTGGCAGATGGTTATTGTCTTCAGGAGCCTTTGAGCATCCATCTACAAGTAGCGATGCCTTGCACTGCCAAGACAACATCACTCAACATCCATGGCTTTGGACTGGATTTAATCGGGTGCATAAGAGCAAACCTGCCTTGCGGCCCTGGCACGACCTTAAGCCTTTCAGCCTTAAGTCACTTCAGCTTTGCGAAATCGGAATGAAAATGTTGCACGGAGAAGCAGAGCATTTACACGTCTGTATGATGGCAAGTATGATGGCAAAAAACTATTCAGCCGACTGAGTTCATAGAACCACGGACAGTCCCGTTCTGCACACTCTGTCACGGACCGGATGCAATATGTACCGGGCCAGCTAGCTATTTGGGATTCATTCAACTCCTCTGATATCATCTTGTCCTCGATTTGTTTGATCCTGCACGGGTTCATGTCATGTGGAAGCTGTCGCTTGACATGCGCATTACTGGAATGGTCGGCGACTGCTAAGGCTTCCTGGCGGGGGAATCCAGTGGTGGAGGATCAGGAGAGGTACCGGCTTCTCACATCGCGAAATGCTGTGCTTCAATTCTTGCTATGAGCATGAGATGTCTGCGCGTCGAAGGAAATGGTCACATAGATGAGACGACGTGTGAGAGGCAAGAGCATGCAAAGACTCCATGGAGCAGCAATTTTAAGCGTCTTGGGCAGAAGAGGCTCTGCGGATGGCAGCGAGCTCTGAGGAGTCGAAAGAAAGGCTCTGGGTCTGCCGAGAGCTGTGGGATCTCATGAAGCGGAAGAAGCCGCCCCATGCAAACAGCCTCTGCATCAGACCAGGAGAGGGAAGACAGTTTGGTGAGGTCACAAATTGCAAGAATATCGAACTTGCTTGATCGCAGCCAACGCACTTCCGAAAGCACGGGTCCTCAAACAATAGCTGCTAGCTACCGTGCGCCTCCCTTCTGCATGATGCAACGTCTACTGGCCTACTGGGGAGAGGACGGCTGCCACGACATTGTTCAGGGAAGCTGTTGACAGTGCCAAATCAATGAACTGTGATCAATTCGTTTGACCAACCGTGGATGATGCATGCGATCAGCGTCTTTCATGCTTCTCAATCAAGTTCTACGAAAAGAAGCTAGGCAAGCCGTGGTCCAGATGTCGGATGAGCTGGTTTGGAGTCACTTGTCGGAGTTGGGCTGCATCCGTGTTCGAAACACCGGAGTGGGGTGGCAGGCTCCTCAGTGCCGACTGGGGCAAATAAGCACAAAGATGAGGAGTGTTCGACGAAGGTGTTTGTCTGATTCTTGCTTAACAGCCGCCGGGGGCACTTCTTGCTGACAGACAGCGAACAAGGCTCGCATGCACCGTTGTTGGTACATCTAAACAGCCGCAATTTATCCTCTGCAGTCTGCCGGAGCGGATGGATGCACTGCAGAAGTCCGAACGCTGCCAGAAAGCCCAACCTTGTTCGGAGCTATGTCACGTCACGAAAGCGTGAAAACATTCTGAAACGGAATCGCGAACTAGGCTGCCGAACAAGCAGTTCGTCAGAGAGGCAAGCAAGAGCACCATGAACGCAAGTAAGGGCAAGGGCTCAACTTAGGGATGATGTCATCGCCGACCTTGCGGTGCAGTTGGCCGGGAGGAAACATTTCTTCGTTGAATCTCTGTGTTTCGGGAGATTGAGATGGATATGGTACGATCTTCTGGGTTCTTTTCGAGGTAGGCTTCTCGTTTGGAGAATCCTGACCTGGACCAACTTTCTGCGCTCTAGACTCTTCTAGTAGACTCTAGACGTACTAGACTCGAGCCATGGTAGGACCGGCCGGTGATGCCTTGTACTCTGGTCGAGTTAAACCGTCGTCAATCGTTTCTTCGTTTGCATCCATCTTCTTTTATTCTTCGGCTAGGTACTGTCATGCGACGCCTTCGGATTTTGCGATTTGTGCCCCGTTGAATGAAGCAATGTCTATACGCGTCTGCTCAGCCCACAGATGCACACAGACATGAACCTTGCCTGCCTGCGGCATTCCGCAAGTTCTGGATTCAGTGCAGTGTTGCTGAGCCCGCAGAACTCTGTGCTCCGTGGCCATCTCAGCCCGAGAGGTCGGCCATGTGCAGTCCAACAGAGTTCCGAGGAAGAGCCCTTCACGGCAATTTTTCTGTTTGTTGCCTCATTACATTGTTTAGGGTGAGTTCGAACACAACACTGGCAAGAAACCGACAATCGCACCTGACTCTGTCCTCTGAGTGCCAGGCAGCAGGTGGATCAGCAACACCATAGCATAGGCGCCCACAAAAACGCTCACGAATGCACCAGGCTGAGCAGAGAGAAGTGCACAGAGGACTTGAAGGCTTGACTGGGCTGGGCCCGCTCGGCCCGCCACCACCTGCTTCCGGATCAGAAGATAAGCACCGAGGCCTGGTGGAGTTCAAGGGTCTTTCGTGGCATAAAGCTCGGTACCGGAGCCTGTCTGTGGAAGCACTCCCAAGAAGAGCACACCCAGGAGCCGTGAGGTGCTGGGCCTCCCGCATCTTAAGTTAAGAACTCTTTCATTTTTACTTCTCTGGGCTTGAACCCGCCTGGGCTCCAGCCCTGCCGCGAGGTCATCGCAGTCCGGCGGAAGGTCCTGGCCTGGGAGCGCAAGCTTATGACACTTTCGGACAGCTCGTTCCAGAACAAAACCAAGGACTTCCAAGCTTTCAGAGCTAAGTGCCTGGGCCGACGAGGCTGAGGTTGGAGTAGAGCGTCTCTTTGCGGAAGGGACCGCAGGTGCCCACAGCCTCTTCCCGACAAATCTGTGATTCTAAGAGCCTACATAGGTACACTGCTTTGATGTCTGCAAAGTCGCCTTCGAACATGCGCGTGGTTTATGTTTGTGCATAGTTCTTCAAGTCACTCTTGTCTCACAGAATCTTCTTGAAAACGTTCGAGAGTTTTAGGTAGAGCGTCCAGGGTTTCGGGCTTCGAGGGTTTAGGCCTTCGGGGTTTCAGGGGGTGTAGAATATTGTAGGGTTTGGAGTTTAGGTTTCGAGGGGCTTGACGGGTTTAGAGTGTCAATCTTACAAATGCGAAAGCCCTGCAGCATGCGAGAAAGCTACTGTCAGGCAGAGATATGCAGAGATGCAGTCTGTGGCATGAAACTGACTCTGTCTTGGCATCTTGCCCTCGTCGCGCTGCAATTTCGCATTCAACAAACATCCCATTTTCCCGCCAAAGATGCGATTTCAGACACGGGCGCCACACGGGCCTGGACCCGAAAGCCAATTCGCAGTTTCCCAGATGAGAAGACGATTTCGGATACGAAGCCATCATGGCTTCCGTGAGCCCCGGCAGCTTCCCGCCCAGAAGCCGAAACAAACTTTGATTTCACTGCACTTCCAATAGCACCCCTCTATCTGCCTCATAAAAGCGCATCAAAGCCAATACGACTCCAGTCTCCCATCATCTCCCATCCCAAGGAGGCGTTTGTGATGAACTCGTATTACAGACTGATTGTACTCAAGCCATAACATCGCAACTATCCAGCGATCGACTACACAACGGAAGAGCTTTTAAGTCCAACTGGGAGATGAGGATCGTTCAGTCCTCGAGTTTGGTTTGGCATGTAATATCCCACCAGCTTGGTAGGCAGGCAAGCAGGCAGTCCACAAGCACCACGTCGCTGCACCACGTCGCTGCCCCGACAACACCATGTCATGTCCGCAGACAACATGTGAACAACTCTTCACCTGTCGTTGGCCCAGCCCTTCAACGTTCAAACGAGTGGCTCATAAGACTCCAGACTTCCTGGATGTATGAGGGCAACTATCCGAGACGTGATCCGTGGAAGTTTGGGGCTCGGCATCGCGGGCCATGACCGAGTCACAAGGTCGGGGCAGGAATGGACTGGCGGAATGCCCTTGCCCCGGCAGCAAACCAAACATCTGCCGCCTTGAAGACCAGGTCCCGGGCCCTCGGCACAAGATGGGTCCGTGGCTTATCGTTACAAACACGTTTTCGGAAAGCCAACTTTTCGAGCTGTCGGCGTTGTCCAGCTGAGGGTCTCCTGGAAGGGCCCTCGTAACAGCTCCGCATCAGCATCACCTGCAGAAAAGAAGCCATGGCCCAGATTTTGCATGGACGCTCTGGTGCTATCTGGGGCGGCAGCTAGCAGAGATTGCCCAAACGCTCTCGCCACTGTCCACGTGTCCGTCTGGTGCAGTGCAAGAGAAGAGGCCTAGGGGCCTGAATGGGCTTGTCATTCCCCAAGTTCAAAGGAGTGAAAGACTGAGGGCCGCACCTGCGGCCTGGAAGAGCGAACGGGAGGGCACGGACGGTACGGGCCCAACATGCACCATGTCACCCGACAAATTGCGGAAGCAAAGTGCTTCTGAGGGACGCCAAAGAACATGAGACGTCCGTCAATCTCCCGGAAACCATGGGCATCACGGACACCTTACTTTCAGGGGGGGTCCCTTGATCGAGGATTTGGAGTCCGACAGCACGGCCTGGAGGGACAGGAGCAACGGAGGTTCCATTGCTCTGCATCAGAAGCCTTGCGCGGGGGGATCGGAAATCGAAAATCGCCGAACCAACAACCGGATGCTTGCGAACTCCAGCAGATCTGAATTAGTCCCAGAATGGTCATGACCTTCCAGCATCGCTTCTGGTGATTGCGCTCATGCGCTGGTTGTACTGCTTGTCTCGATGTTTCGCATGCCGTCTAGCCTAGCCCAGATCATCCCTGCCTGCCATGCAAGTCTGAAGACGAAAAGTAAAGTTGACCGCCGAAGACCTGAGCAGAACCCGGCGCGTCTCCTCGCAACATCTGCTGCCTCGTGTCCCTCTTCCTAAACTGACTTGGGCCCGATCCACATGGCTCGTGTCTGGAGGCGCCCCAGCCTCTGCATACTCCGCCTCCTTCCAAGACACGCAAGAGCTGGGAGCCCTGCTGTCGGTAACTTGCCTAACTTGCCTCGAAGACCTCCCCACCAGCTGCGAGCCTCCGCAAATCTTCAGGGACGGTTTCTGAATTTGGGAGCTTGAACATGGCGGTGCGATGCAGTGTGCAGAAATATGAAAGTTTCAGTACAACTACTGCAAGGAGATATGCTCAAACGGAAGTTCAAGAAGCCCGCGCACATTTCACTGTCATTGCGTGTTTGCGCTTGTTTGAGACCCGAAGTGACGACTGCGCAGCAAGCATCGCACTATCGAGCTACACCGACATTTCGACAATTGCTGGAGCGGGACTACAGCCCAGGGCCGGAAAAGAAAATCGTGCGATGAGGCTTGTGGAGCAGTTTCGAACCGCCAAAATCCCACAAATCCTGTGACGTCTGCCCATGTAGGCATTTAATTTTCCTTCCGAAGGGGAAAGAAGAAGGAATGAAAGGAAGAGCACACAGACAGCAAGTAGAACACATGCTCTGCCGACTCAAGCTCACTCTGAAGTTCGTTGAAGTGTGCCGTCCCATGAGGCATGCTGCAACACCGCACTTGGTTCCCGGCCAGGAACCAAGAAACAGCAGTTGGCAGCAAACCTCGGTACAGTATTCCGCCTGAACATTAGCCAGCTGTTCCCTGCTATGTTCATGCAGTGGCCTGCATTGTCACGCATTGATTGTCGCAAAGCCGCTGATTTCTGTCTGTGTGTGTGTGTTTGGTGCTGGATATTGAATTCCTTCGAACTGCAACCAACAGGAGAGGCTTCGGGGCGGTATTTGCCGCAGCATTTTACCCTGGGCACGCCGAGTCGATACAAGCGCTGGCTTGAGCCCCACACCAACACCCAAGCAGCACTGCGGCCTTTTGCAAGCCTGCCAGGGAAGCATCGCACAATTTGCATCACTCTGTGGCACGTTTGCCGTGGAGGTGCCTGGGCTCCTGGTCCACGTTCACAGCAAAGCCCACAGTAATGAAGAAGTAGGCCAGCAACAGCGCGAAACCTAGGCGCCAATCGACCTGGGACTCAATCGGACTCACCACGCCTGCGTGCTTCAACGCTCCGTGGCAAGTCTCGACATCTGGAATGTTTCGGGTGTCACACCTGTGCTGCCCCGAGGACGCCAAGGCCGGCGAGTGTGTGAAGCAGAAAGCCAAGCCACCATGCAAAAGCTGAAACCGACCTGGAGGGCACCTGAGATTTTCTGTAGCAATTAGAAGTGAAGCGAGGTCTTCCAACGGAACTGTGCCGAGTCCACCTCCATGGTCTCAGCTGGAGCACAGCTGAGAAATGATCTCAGGGCCCGTCGGGCTCTACGACTACATGTCTTGGCATCTAGGATTCGGATCTGCAGGCCATGGCCTTGAACCGAACTAGGGTGAAATGCACGAATGAGTGGTGCAAATAGCTGCTAAAAAGCGTTGCCGAGCTTGTTGGGGTGGCTTCGGCTGCGATGTAGGTGCAGCAAAGTTGCTTCCCGGTGAGGGATCAGACATCTGACTTTCAATTCTGTAACTGAAAGCAATGTGTTGCCGAAAGCGCACGATCGGTCCAGAAATGTTGCACAGACTGTTTGCGACATCCCACCTCGCTGCATTCAGGTTCAGTTGGTTTGAGTCTAAGTGATGGCATCCCATGTTTCGCGAGCTGTTGGAACAATCATTCGGAGTTTCGAACTGCGACTCCAAGGTTACAGTTTTGGTAAGCCGGCATGTCCACCGCAAGTCCGGTGCGGTTCGGCCGGCTTGTCGCCATCTGTGTAGACAGATTTGATCCGTCGTGCGTCCCAGGGCGACCCGCATTCTTCTCAATTATTTCCACTGTGGAGTAGGCAGAAACGAATGGAAAAGGATATGCCAATACCGAGAACGGAGAGAATTCAAAAGGTCCCATTGACATGTGCAGTGCTGGAATGATGTTTTCCGCGCGATGGCAGTACTATGGCTTGCGTTGCTTAAAGCAGCCTTTCGAATTCAAGTCCTCCACAAGCTTGTCGTTCAGGTCCTCAGGGACATTGCCGGCGTCTGGGCCGTTCTGCATCTCGCATTTAACCCTCCTCTCTAACAGCTGTGCCTGCAACCGTGCGAGTTCCCGGCGCTTCTGCTCAACCTCGTTTCAAGAGCTTTCTCAAGCAGAGGGACGTGGGTTTGGGAATGGTCGGAGCTTTCAAACGACCTTATTTCAGGTGTGACCCAGTGTGGCCCCGTCGCACCTGGGAGCGAAAGAGCTCCCGGCGCCGCGCAGCCGCTTCCCGCTCTTGCCGTAGCACTGCCTGACGGATGATGGGCTCCGAAACCATGTCCTGTCTGCGCCGTCTGCGCCTGCTCGCTCTGCAGCTCGCCGCAGAGCACTGACACAAGGCTCGAGGCCTGCAGAGGCAGCAAAGCTGAGAGCAGAAACATCGAGAAGAGACGTGCGAAGTCGCAAGAGAGAAGAGCTTGTAACATGCAGCCGAAGACGTTCCCACGCACTGTGTCCTGATCCACCTCTGGACCTTGCGCTGCGGCCTGACCAAGGACTCAAACCCATGCAACGTTCTTCAAAAATCTTCAAAATGTCCCCGGGGTGCTGTGCCATGCGCTTTGGCGTTGTGTTTGCTTTTTGCTTGTTGGAGTCCCTCTTTCGACCGCCTCGGCAGTCGCCATCTCTGCGGCAAGCCGGGAAAGCTCGAGCTGCTCGGCACCCAGCTTCTCCTCCTCCTGACAAAAATGCCCACCCTACAAACCGAACGTGGTGCTATCCGCGCTCTATCCGCATTTAAGTCTCCTCCTTCTGTTGGGCCGTGGACAGAGCGCAGCTGCCCTCCAAAGCTTCCAAAACACCACGCAACTCCTAGCGGGTGACAATAATTGACATCCGGGTGAGGGCTCTGAGCATCTCTGAGCGGGCTCCTCGAAGCTGTCTAGCTGGCCCTGCAACGTTGCAAAGGGCACGGTGTCAGCAGCTGCCAAGACAGCCTCGGCCACCTCGGGCTCCTGCACACATGACTGAAGCTTCTTGTGTCTTCTACCTCGCTTCATCTGCTCTCGTTGAGCTTGTGCTCGCCTCCTGAAGCCGTCTCCTGCCTTCAAACTCTGAACTCTTCCTTGCTCTAACCCGTGGCGATTGGCAGATCATAACTCTGCAAAGCTTGGCTTAGCGGCTTAGCATGCCAACTCGAAAGCGAGCTGGCTCATCACGGAAGGGCGTGCCGGTGAAGAACCCAGCTTCAGCACCTCGTCGCATAGGCGTGGGATGCCAGCGGCGGCAGCACGCGAGGCCACCTACAGTCCAACACAAAAATGCCACTCTGCTGCACTCTCGGCTGCATGCTGCACCTCTGTGAGCTGTGACTCCAAGAGGAGCCTCGGAGACACCAAAGACACAGTTGGACATGTCATCATGTGACGCGTGGTGACGTAACGCTTCTGCTCCTTGCCTCTCAGCCTCCTCGCGCTCCAGCTCCCTGCCACCGTCCTCGCGCATTGAATATTCCGTAATATTCCGTATCCTTGTGTCTTAGTCTTAGCCACCTTAGCCTCCCCACTCCGATGTCTCCTTGCCGCCAGCAAAGGCCATGACGACATCGGTGGACTGGCGTAAGGCCAACCGACAGGTCGCAGAGCTGAGAGCAACAGCCGAGGCTTCCTGGCGCCAGGTCTTCACCCGCTCCTGCTGCAGCTCTGCCTGCAAATGAGCCTTGCTTTAGTGTCAGGTCACAGCTGTTGACATGCTTTGAGGCTTTGAAAACTTGGACTTGCCTGGGTATTGGTGACGGCTCGCAGGCGTTCCACAAGCTCCGCCTGACTTTGGCCCGTTTCGAAGATCGCCGCCCGCAGCTCCGCGGCCCGGGCATCCAAGCAACGAAGATCTCGGAGGCAGCAGAAGCAGAAGGCATCGTTTCTGAGTGGTCTCCCGAACCTTCGGCAAGTCCACAGCGCAGTCGTTCCTCGTCCGTATGATGCCGCCGAAGCCTCTGTCGCAAAGCCTTGAGATGTGAGACCAAAAACCGCAGGTCTGGGACTGGCCAAGGCATGCCAAGGCTGCCAAGGCACCTCATTCTCGTCTGTGGCCTCCCGGATCTTATCAGCCAAGGCCTCCCTGGCGACCGAGAGTCGCTGCAGAAAAGCTCCAGACTCCGCATGCCTTCGCCGCAACGCAAGATGCGCAAGACACAGAGTGACATCAGTTTTCCTGAAAACTTCAAGCTCTCATCTCAGTTCCAGACTGCCAGTGGCTCCTGTCCTGCAGGTGCTGCAGCTCCCGGCGAAGCCGGCACTGCATCTCGCGCTGGGCCTTGTCACACCATAAGCAATTCCTTCACCTGCGTGTGCGAGCAGGATGCAACTCTGCTCTGCTCGCCTCGGCTTCCATATGCACCTGGCGATTGCTTGGACTTTCTTGCAAACTTCTCTCGCCTACGCCTTGGGAGCCCAGCTTCCTCCCATAAGGCGCCACACTCGTCTAGAAGCACGCGGGCAGCTGGGTCCTCAGGTCCGACCACGGTCTATGACTGTACGGCGCTCTGCTACCGTGGGCCTCCTCGACCTCCTCGGCACCCAAGGCAAGGTCACCGAGCAAGGCCAGCAGCTTCTGAGGCAAAAGTCACGGAGGCAGCACTCCGCTAGCAGCTGCAAACATCTGCAAGCACGGCGAAGCTGACTTTGCGAAGCTCTGCCTCGTCGGACTCCTCACCCTCAAAGCTGGACAGGTCCTGCTTGCGCTGGCGACACTTGCGTTTGGCTCAAGTTGCTCCGCTCGGTCGCTCGGGCACGGCCTCCGTTCCCACAACAAAGGAGCCATCAGTGGATTCGCAACTGTGCCTTCGCAGACTGTGCGCGAAAGCACTGCCAGCGACGAGCTCCACTGCAAGCAAGGCCTGTTTGCTTTGAGGGCTAGAACCTGGCTTGCCACGCAGAGTCACTTTAGGGTAAATCATGCAAAGCAAAGAGCCTCAGTGCCCCAGACTTGAGCCATGGGTTCACGCACGACCTCTCTTTGCAAGGCTTGGCATTCACAAGGTCTGGCAAAGTGCCTAGCAACAGGCACCCGATCCTGGCGGATGGTTGTTGGCGTTGGCGTCCCATCGCGGCTGGACATGAGGGGCTGGACTAGGTAGCTAAACTTGCTTATTAGCAAGACGCTGGAAACCTACTGGATTAGCTTGCTTAGACATGCTTCCAGATTGAACTTCAGCTTGCCGAAGCTCGCTTGGGCAAGACCTTGCCGCGGCAGCAGTATGCAAGCATGCACGCGTCGTGTGCCGATGTTGGTAGCAAGCAATCAAGATGTGCTACACGGACATGGCCTACCAATAAGTAAAATGGCTAGTAAGTGATCACTGGAACATACTGGAACGGCCCCTCCGAAAAAACTCTCAAGGCCTACCAGGAACTTCGGCTTTAGGGTTTCGGCTGCAGGGTTTCCTTTCCGGTTTCCTTTCCGCTTTAGGGCTTCGGCCTTAGGATTTCGGCCTGAAGGTTTCGGCCTGGGTTTTAGGGTTTCAGTTTCGGCCGTGGGATATCGGGTTTAGGGTTTCTGTCTTGGGGATTCCGGCTTTAGGTTTGTTTTGGCTTCGGCCTTAGGATTCGGGCTTAGGGTTTCGGCTGCAGGGTTTCCCTCGTGGGGTTTCGGCCTCGGGATTTCGGCCTCAGGGTTTAGGGTTTGCTTTCGGGTTTCGGCGATGGTGTTTCGGACTTAAGGATTTCGGCTCTAGGGATCTTTAGGGTTGCCGGCTTGGGATTCCGGCTTGAGGCCTGAGGGTTTGGGATTTGAGTTTAGGGTGTCGTTTGGGCCTAGGGGCTTCGGACTTACAGTTTCGGCCTTCCGGCTTTAGGCTTGAGGGTTTGGGGATTGGAGTTTAGGGTGCTGCTTGGGCCTCCAGATATCTGACTTGAGGAAACGTGAACGAAATGCACGAAGTCAGATCCATAGTTGTATATCCGTCTTGAAACAGCGTATCCGAAAAGATCCACTGGTGCCTGAATTTTGACCCACTGGTTCGGGAATTTCGACTTCAAAGTGCTCGAATTGGGTCGTTCCAGTTCCGGAATTCGACCAGGCAGTCCACAAATTAAGTTCCAGAATTTCGGTTTTTCCCGAATTCCGGTTCCAGAATTGGCCACGACGTTTCCGAATTTGGTTCCTGGGCTGGTCGTTGATTATAGAGCTTCCTGGGTTTTCGGAAGTGTAAAAAACACGAGGGCAGCAAGTCAGCCATCTACAGTGTTAGTCGACATTTCCCACATGCGGGGGAGGGTTTTTCCTGCTGCGGTTCTTGCGGCTAGCGGGTTCGACCTGGTTCCTGGATTCCGACACCCTAAGGCCGAAACCCTAAAGCCCTGAGGCCGAAACCCTAAGCCCGAAACCCGGAGCCGTAAACGACGAAACCGCGAAACCGAAACCCTGAGGCCGAAACCCTAAGGCCGAAACCCTGAAGCCGAAACGCCAAGTCCGAATCCCGAGGCCCGACACAGCAGCCGGACAGGCACGTTTCCTGAATTCGGCCCTCGTGGTTCATGGATTTGCGGCCATCGGTTTCCTGAATTTGGTCGTGTCTATTCCGATCCGCTGGGCCTGAATTGGTCTAGGAATTAATGGGGTCAGTTTCTGAATCGGTCGACGCTTTGTAATTAACTTCCAGGATGTCTGTTTGTGTTAAAGGCTTGATTTGGGATTCGTGCAGAGAAGGCTCTCCGCTATGTTGCACCGCAGGGTCCACAGCAGGCTCGTTGCAGTGCGTGAGGAAGTTAAGTACTCGTGCTGGTGCTGGCTGCAGGCTCGTTGCAGGAACTGCTGTCTTCGGAAGCAAGATGGTGCATACTGAACCGCGAGTGCAGCATGCCGGAGTACAGTTTATGCGCTGTTCTCAAAACGGATTAGAATGGTAAGACCATGGACATGGACATCATCATGGCTTGGCCATCATTGCTCTGTTCTCGGAATGGATTCGACCATGGCCGTCATCGTGGTTCGGCATGGATGCTCTGTTCTCCGGACGGATAAAACTGGATAAAGTCAGGCAAGACTGAACAAACAGGAACTCGAGGCATCAGAAACTGCAAAAACAGCTTCAACTCCGAGCGCAAACAGAAGTTCCAGCAAAGCATCAGGAGTTTTCGTCACGAAACAAGCAAAAACAAACGCAAGCAACATCAACATAAACGCTTGAAAAAACCCTGCAGCAAAAGCAGAAGACATAACAAACAGTTCGAGGAAAATGCGCATTGCAGAGACAAAAGAGAAGGAGGCAAAGCGAACAAGTAGCAAAAAACGGGGTCCGCGGGTCAGCTCACCCACCTGGCAAAATCACGGGTATCGCCACCTATCCTGACCCGCGCTCTGGCGCATGTGTTCTTTTGTCAAAAACAGTGTGTCTTTCACAAGCACAACGCTTTTCAAGCTGACAGTGCGCAGGAAATTACTTTTTCGGAGTTGTTGTTTGGTGAAATTTTCATTGCCGCAGAGTTTGCTTCCCTTGCAAAAAACAAGGCTTTGCAGACTTGCATGCTTTGATGCCGTTCGCAACGGCGTTCGGCCTGTATTTCGGATTTCGGGACAACATTCACATCTTGACATGGTGTATTTATTGTTTGTCATACGGATACGGGTCAGGATATGTGGCTGTCTGTGTGCGCTAGAAGCGTGGTGTTTTACCAGTTAAGATGTGCTTCCTCGGAACTTCAAATGTTGTGCCGTGCACGCAGCAACGCGCAGGCCAGGAAAGTTTCGGAGATTGTAGTACTGAGCCTCGCACGCAAAACAACCTTTTGTGGTCTTCATGCTTTCATGCTGGAATGGTGTCGAAAATGCGTTTGCTGAGCTCATCACTGTTTGCGAGACCGTTTGATTCGCACAAAACCGCATTGCTCTGTGGGAACGAATGGGGTCTGGGTGGACGTTATCATGGTTCGATCATGGATGCTGTTGGGATAGGCGGCGCCCCTTACCAGCACACATGAACTCAGCAGGCTCCGGGCCAAAACTCTTCCACCACGCTGTGGCAAGTGATGTGCAAAGGCGGGTATGTATAGCCTAGACTAGGTCAGGTGATGCAGGTCAGACTGGTTACACTCCGCCGCATTTGCCTGCATCTCTCTCCTCGTCCTTTTGCGAGAAGTGGCTCTGGCTTTCGGCTCTACTGGGCTGCTGCAACTGCTCCGGCCACTCACTTCTGGCTATTGCAGAACATCAGCAAACACATGACGAAAGTATCCTGCGTGCAAGGCCAGGACAATTTCTCTGAACAGTTCTGACCCGCATGTTCACACTTCCATTTGAAAGCAGAAGCACAACGTCCCGAGCATTGAGGTCGGCAAACCGGAACGTGATGCAGTCCTGCATCGACCGCACGCATAATGTCTGACACTCTCCCAAGGACCTCTTATTGTCAACTCTGGCAGTCTGGCTGTTGCGGGGTGGCCATATGCGGAGGCCTCCTTGTTATGTTAACACCGGGAGCACATGGCTCATGGACATGAGAAGCGGCTGAACTGGCACCAACAGTTTTACCCAACAGTCATCGGAGAGCACCAGCGTAGCGCATAAGTCATCGAGCGGAGTCGATATACCTTCCACAGACATCCATCGATAAGTCGGAAAAGGCAGCCAATGGCAGTCACATTGTGCATCCCAGTCGAGCAACCTTCGACATCTGCGCCTGCAGCACCAGCTCCAAACCCACGAAAATCTTACAGCCGACAGGCAGTGACATGCTGTGACGGGCCTGCTGCAATCTCGTCCACATCTCGAAGTGCGATGCTCCGATTTTGTGCACCCACCTGCACAGGGATCTCGAGATTTGCTGTTGCGAGAGCACAGTATCTCAGGGGCCTTGATTTTCAAGGCATCTAGATTGCGACTCAACGACACCACACCTGAGCTAGGTTGGGCATCGCTGAGGTGGAATAAGGACTGCCACTTGACGGCCCCTGACACTTGGTCAATCTTGTTGCAGAAACTCAGTATGCCCGTGTTCAAAGAAACGCCTGCTATGCATGCTAACACGGGTGTGTTTGCGTGTGTTGTCTCTTGCCCGCTGGAATAGGCCAACGTCTTCCAAGACAGCAATGATCGCGACGAATTGAAGCACAATCATCCCACTTGCCCGACTAATGATCAAATGTGGGCCATGCCTGAGAAAAGAGCATCGTCATTGCTAAACGTGCAAAGCTGAGCTCTCACACACGTTTTCAGCTGGCCAGCCTGGGTCATCACCTCAACTTCAGCAAAGGCCAAATACGCCCAAATCTCAGCTGTTCTACCGACATATATCTCCAGGTTGATGTACACTGGAACGCTTGCCTCGCGTCTGGCAGGGTTGCCCAAGTCTCTGACATTCATCTTGCGGCCCTTGACCATCTCCTTAACCTCACATGACGCCAAGCGTCGAAAACGCTGACATAGCACGAGTGCAAAGCATGCAGGCGAAGTGGCGAAATCTTTGACCACCTGCTTGGCCTGATGTCGCTGTTCCTGCCGAACACACAAGTCGATTTCGCCTATCCGACATCGCATCGGCGCATCGGGGACCTTGGCCGTGACTTCGTCCACCATCTCAGACACCTCGGGGAGAAGTCACAGGTAGAGGAACGACCGCTGCAAAGCTGTATTCATTCGAGGGCTTGAATTTGGTCGATTGGTCGCCTAGGTTACTATACAGCCGGCGGTTGTTCCTAGATGCTGTCGTCGGTCTGCGATTCCCCGTCCGGACGAGCCGGTGAAAAATGATAATTGATAGTTGAGAAGCCTGGTGTTGCGCCGAAAATCCCTTGCCAGAAGTGAGGAAGGAGAATTAATGGGTGGACCAACCCGAAACCCCAGGAGGAGGAGCAAAGCCGTGCTGCCCAGAATCCTCACAAAGGTGGCGAGCCTAAAACCGTACCAAAAGCCGAGAAGACATGATAAGACTAAGGCGAACGTACTATGGGACTTCACCCGATGAGTGCACAAAACGTTCAGACCTTTTTGACAAAATGAACGGGTTGGATGCTATCCCCCCGAAATTAGAGGCACAGACGGTGAGCGCAAACCCAAGTCGAAATGGGCGTTGGTTGATCTAATTTCATTCCTCCCTTAATGACATGCTTCACAGAAAGTATTCTCTCTAGCGTAACATTGCAGACACATGTTCATGTATGTTGAATGGCACCCATTCGTTGTTTTCGTTTGGAGTTCGCAAGGAATTTCGAAGGCCATGTGCTTGTAAGATCTCGAGGGCTCGGGGCTTCCGGGTATTTGGTATTGGGCGGGAGCGTCTTGTAAGGTGGAGCTTCAAGCCTTGCAATCGGGCACGTCCCTTGCCCTATATGGCAAACTCAATTTAAACAGGTCTTTTTAGTCTATCTTTCGCGCTACCCGCACAAGCGACACGCATTTTGGCATCTGCCTGGAGCCTGCTGCGTGATTCATGTTGAGATGTTGTGCCAAACAATGTGCTAGACAGCCTTAAACCGAAAGCCCCGAGGAGAACGAAACGACAAACAACAGACCTTACTTCCAACGAAGGTGCAGCGTGGTAGTAGTAGTAGTCGTCGTCGTCGCAGTAGCAGTAGCAGTAGCAGTAGCAGTAGCAGTAGCAGTAGCAGTAGCAGTAGCAGTAGCAGTAGAGTAGCAGTAGCAGCAATAGTCGTAGTAGTCGTAGTAGTAGTAGTAGTAGTAGTAGTAGTAGTAGTAGTATTGCTATTAATACTGAAAAGTAGAAACGTTGGCAAAGTAGGCTGAAACAATAACTTTCGCATAGACAAATTCTTTAGCGGAGTCATCACGGAACTTTCGCGGAGGCATGCTGTGTCAAGCCCATGGTCGTTTTGTATAAAAACTGCGGCAAGGACCTTTAGATAGATGCCCAAATCGAAAGTTAGTGCCAGTTGAGCCATAACCGCAACAACAAAGCTACACCCATGTCCATTACCAGTGTAAGCTTTGTCACACTTGACACACACTCACGGGGAGCAGCTTGTTGTTGAAGCTCTTGGAAGGTGCTGCCGTGAAAACCTGCGGTTTTAATGAATGAGATCTTTTCATACCTTTGGATGCTTCGTGCTTCGGCTGACCCTTGCAGCTTCCAAGCTCAGACTCTGGTTGATGTCATGCACTCTGCTGCTGATTTCTGGGCGCCTTGCTTGCGTCTCACCATCTCCTCATTGCAGGCGGTATCCGCGCTAGGCCCCTAGGCCACGAAAGCACTGTGTATGAGACCTGCCTCCTGATGCCATGACGGAGGCTTCAGCCTCTTGCAGGGTCAGACCAAGGCAGCAGCTTCATGGCACTTTTCGACGTGCCTGCAGGTCCTCTTTGGGAGCGCTTGGGACTTCAGATTCCCCTACAAGGTAGCGCTGTTCTAGAGACTTTTTTTGCAGAAAAGCAGACGAATTATCGGACCTGGCAGTGGCGGTGGCAAGCTCGGCTGCGAATGAACTTGCACAGGCTGGGTTTCCCTAGCCTCTCGCATCTGCTAAAAGCTGTCGTCAAGCACACTTTGCTGCTGACACTTTGAACCTTGTCGATTTCCGAGCAACAGGATGCACCCATTACCTGACACGACAGCAGGGCATTTGGACTGCACGACATCTCAACAAGTCCAACACGGCCTGCACACAGCATCCCTGAGTATGAGCAAGGACGGGCAGGCAAAAACACCGGATCTTTGACTTCCATTGCTCATTCCAAAGGGCTGCGGCAAAGGATGTCTGTTGCGGAGTGCTTCAGGAAATTAGCATGGTAAAATGACAACATCTCGAAAGCCCGCTGTTCTGCCCGTTCAGAAACAAAGCTTAGATCTTGCGCCGTAATTACTTCTACATCAAGACCGGGAGTTAATGATGCATGACCGCGGTCGCAGCCGCTGCCTGCTACCTGTTTCCTTGCATTCGTGTGAGGTTACCAAAGTTGCGGCAGTGCCAACGATTCTCGATATGTGACACATGCAGGTGCTGCTGAAAGCTGACAGAACCGTCTGCGAACATGGAGGACACACGCACACACACACACACACACACAGAGACACACACAGACACACGCGCACGGTTGCCGTTGCGAAACATCCACGTGTGTCTCAGAGTCCCCCCCCGGTGCACTGGCAATCACTGGCAGAATGTACAGCCATCGAACGCATCGACTTTTGAGCGAGGATGCTTTGTCTCCAGCCCTTTGAAGTGCTTGTCAGAGGAAGGCTGCGTGTCGCGGAGTCTCTCGTGGCGGCCGCCTCTCACCAACAAAGTAAGTCACTGGTGAAGTTAGCGAAACCTGACTGATACCGTGCTGGTGCCAACTGCCACAAAGACTGCACCAGACACAACACATGTATCCACTGTCCGCATGATGGCAAAGCATAGCAGACAGTGTACCACCATGTACCACCTGAGACCAAGCAAGTGCCGTATTAGATAGGCCTCAACCTCCAATTCAGGCGCTTGAGGCTTCTGTCAGCAGCATCCCCAAACAAGGGCCGTTTACCGTGCATAGCTGCCCAAAGCAATCAACAGCGGGGAATCCTCTCTGCATGCAGCTTGCTACTTGTAGCATGAGCCTCCGCCGGCTACCCGCCATGGATGACAACACTATCCCTTCACCCTACTTGCCGAGCAGGACTAAAGAAACTTCGGTGCCGGTGCAAGTCAGGGCTACTAAGCTGTGTAGATGCTGGTGCACTCGTTGCATGCGGCAGGCAGCGTCTGCCTGGTGCGCGGCTACCTCTTTTCCGATTCTTTTCACATTTAGAAACAATTCAAGAATCAGGTCAACAACCCCGGGCGACGTAGGACAAAACAGTTCATGTGGAAATATCGGGAACAATCTTGGGGCGGTGAGCGTATCATTTCCGGCTCCATCACACAGTCCAGAAACCTCCTGTCCATCCTGAAAACTATACAGACGTAGTAAATACTGCCCGAAGCCTTCGATGTGTGGAGAACCCGGCGTGACCCACCTGCTCTATCAGCTTATGAGGCGCAAACACTGCCACTGCACAAGCATGCCCGCCAGCAAGGCCATGCAATCGATGCCGGCGTTGGTGGGGATGAGCTTGTCAACGGCATCCTGAGTTTGCTAAACTTTGCAAGCTACGCAGACAGCTTCTCATGAGTTCAGCCTTCGCCAAGATGAGGTCGGACTGCTGTTCCGCGGCCTTGGCCTGAAGCATAGAATTTCCACCGATACCCTGCTGCATGCTACTCCACCGATCAGGGCCTTGATGGTTGCTACCTCCTTTGCCAGTTCACCCATGCCTCAACTGCCATCCAGCAAAGAACAGTGTGGTTCCGCTGCTCATGCCTGTGTTTGCGCCCACAATCTGCTCTGCCGCTTTCTTGGCTTCTCCCAGCTCCACCTGGAACGGCTCCCTGAGTCTCTGTTTTCCAGACCGTGGGAGTGCAAGGGTCACCTCGATACCGCGGATCTTGTTGGCAAATTCGCCGACTTTATTGGCAGTGTCTTGAATGTTCTTGATCTGTGAGCAGAGCATGTTCTCGCCTCAACAGAATCATGACTGCACACGACCGCGCGCGCCTTCAAATGCAGATCGGCGAGGGCGTCGGTTTGAACCTGGTGTGCTCGCACCGCAACGTTGATCATAAGACTGCCTGCAACAGGCCTTGAGCATGTTGGTCACCTTGCGGCTCGACAACTCAGGGCACACTCTAATCAAGGTCCCGCCGGCCTCTTCAATCTGGCTTAAGCCCTCACTCTTGGAAGCTTCGAAGGAGACCGCATGTCCTGAAACCACCACGAATGGTGAGCGCAAAAGCTGCCCCCAGACATGCAGTTTCTGAGCACTTCTCTAGCACCTGGAAGGCGCCCCATGGAAAGCAAATTGTCAAGCGCCGTGCTTGGGCGCACTCATTGTCTGCAAGCTGTTTGTTGCCGGCACCGGCTAGTGCCCGATCAACAGCATAAATCACTCAACTTACAACGGATACTTGCATTAACTAGCTCTGTGACGTAGAGGTTTGTGCCAGAATGCAGAAATCAGATGTCCTTCACCTTCTGCATCTGCTCTGTTCTGCTCAGGACTACATGGGAGCATTGAGAAGCCACCACGCTGGATAACTTGATGCAACATTTCTGCTGCACGTCTCGGAGCTAAATGAAAGTGGCTTGTGGCAGTAGAACCAACAAAGCTCGAGACAGCGCTTTGCATCTTGCCAGGAGCTCGCGGGCTGACTTTCACGGGCCGTGAGTCTCGCTAGTTGCTCAGCAGGGGCTTTGCGCTTTCTCTCCTTGGCCATTGGAATCGACCAGATCCATCCAGAAGCCATGCGTCGAATGTTACACTCAAGTACTACACTACAATCGTCACTGCAAGCGTCTGATGTCCGGCATTTCTGCGCTTCTTCTTCTCCTCAGAACGACACCGAAAGCTTGACAAGTTCTAGGGCCCTAGAGTCCCTAGAGTTGAGATGACGCAAGCCATGGAGCAGGGTTGTAAGCACAAACGAAATCGCGAACGACAAAGCAGCGACGATGGATACACGGAACTGATTTGAGCAACTACGAACCGCTCTGGCCATCACAACGAAGTGGCTGTTCTTGGATCCGAGCTGAGATATACTTCGTCACAAACAGCTCGCTTCCAAGGCACTGTTTTTGGTCTTCACGCGACGATTGGTCAATTGGGTGCACGGGAGGTTGCCTTCAACAAGGCTGCTACGACTCGAACACGAAGACTCCCAAAAGTTCTCGGGGGGCCAGTGCTTGCGTTGACCCTTTCTTCGCGAAGATGAGGGTTGGAAAAGTACTTGCGCAACTCGGGACCGCTCAACCGGCCTTGTCTGCCATGTGTTTTGAAGCAGTTGATGCTACGAAATGTAACATGCTCAAATGAGGTAGGAGGGAGACAATGGTTTTTTGACACATACGGGTGAGCAGCCAATTTATTCACAGGCAAGCCAGCATGATAAAGAAACACCTAACAAGAGCGTAATGTCGCAGTGCGCCGGGAATCCAGAACAATTATTTGAGCAAGATTGCCAAGCAATCTTGCAATCTTGCTCCACTTGCCGCACTTAGTGGGGGAGCAAGATTGCCAGCAATCTTGCAATCTTAGTCTAACAGGTAAATTAGTCGGTGAGCAAGTGGGGCAAGATTACCAAGATTGCCAGTGGCCGACCAAGACTGCAAGACTGCCAGGGTACTGACCAAGATGACCAAGACTAGCAAGATGTACTCTCCAATTAACTGTTCTAGATTCGCGGAACAATGTTATGTCGACACCAAATTACTAAACATGACTTCCGTGACGACCGACTACGACGACCACAGCGACATCGACAGCCACAGCCACAGCTACCACCACCACCAGCAGCAGCAGCCGGAGCACCTGTTTCCGTGCCACGTCGAAACACATCTTGTGTTGTGCCTGTACAGACATTGAGACGCGTTCTAGGGAAATGGACATGATGGCTCGGTAAATTCGAAATGCAGAAGATTTCTGAGCGGAATAGAAACAGTCATTCGAGATGCTAAAGCAAGTTCACAGAGGACCGCTCGGCATGCTTAGATAGTAGGCCAGTATGCTGTATCTACATGTGACGTAGACACGACTTGGTAAGTAAGCTCGAGCATCTACGGAAAGTCATCGCGATACATGTCTCGCCAAAGAGGCACTTCGAGACATTTCTCGGGCCTCCTTGTCTTCTCCACACGCAGTGGCGACCACAGCCGACTGAAGGGACTCTGAGGGGATCCTCAACTGGCCTGAACGGGCTAAGGTCGGGCAGTAAAGACGTTTCGACGTTGGCGGTAGGACGGTAGGACCAGCGACATGTCTTGCTTCGTGGGCTCAAAATGCTGGCATGCGGGAATTTCCGTTAGTGAAGACCTTTCAAGATCTTTCAAGCACTTCGGTGCACGCTCGCTGGGCTTGGATGGCATGTAGTGCCAGACTAACCAGTGGACTAATGACGGGACATCCTGAAACATGTCAAATCCGAGAGGCATCTGACACATGCCACCGTATCAACACGGTGTACTTGACAGCTGCAAGGCCAACACAACTGAGCTGCGAACACCATGCTTTTCGTGTCGGTGGTGTTCTTCTGGCGCATCCACCTCTCAAGCCGGATTCTGCACACAGCGAACCAAAACACTGTGTCAACCTCCTCGATCCCGGATGATGTCACCATGAGGTGCTTCAAGCCGGAAGGGACACCATGGCCTGCTCGACGTGAGGGGTGAAGTGGTTGGATTTCAACTCTGTGTTCCGCGAACCGGCTTGCACCTGGATGCTGTAGACCATGTGCAGTCCTCACCGATCAGCAGCAGCTTGTGATGCTGTCCAGAGTCGTAAATCCAGTCGGGAGCCGAGTGTCCTTCTGTGCCTCTTCATGAGAAGGTGCGCTCTGTCCAAGTCATCCCTCGGCTTGCGCCAGGCTGACTGTTCTCTGCAGCACATGTGCACCCCTTGGTCAAGTCCCCCGCTCATTCCTCTCTTTTTCCAGAAATAGGTCGAAATGCTGCTGCGCATACCTTATCTAGGTACCAGCATCTGTCATTAATTTCACTTTCAAGACTTCGGCAACGTGCATGGAGTCATTGCATCGTAGATACTGCTTCAGTACAGCCTTCTGAGCACCTTCTTCCGTCATTTCCTGGCTGTTACAATGACCAAGTACTGGCATGAACAGATCAGCAGCACAGGCGTTCCTCCGAGAGCTCCATTTCCATTGGCAGAATATAGATCCGCCAGGCTGGGAATACGATCAAGACTAGTATGACGGACCTCAGACACATGGCTATGGCTGGCTGTCCAGGCAGCATGCAGTGTGGGATGCGGGCATAATCATCTTGGATATGAGGGGTGGACCTCAGGCACGGGTCGTTGGGTCGATCGTGACAGGCCGTGGCGACTGCACATCGTTCCCTCTCAGACCGCAGCAGTCCTCCCTGAGCCCCTCTGCCACGACATCGACTGCCGTGTCGAAGCTCTGCCTCATTCTCAGAGTGCAACACCAGACTGCCCTGCATCACGGCCGCCCGTCGGTGCAAATAAGTCGCTCCCAGGAGAATCCGATGAGGATACCTAGACCTGAGGATCCGAGAGCTGAGCATCCACCTTCCCGAACCCCCGGTCCCTGACACCTGAGATCATCTTCTCAGTGGCCCCCTCCGCAACCTCAGAGTCTTTGCCGAACAAGTGGTTGTCCTGCCGCTGCGACGAAGGTGTCACAGGCAACAGCGATGCTTTCTCATTTATTATTCTCACCTTTTCTTGGGCACACCCGCGCGACTGCGACAGAGACCATGTCAATGGCCCCACGAGAAGGCAAGAGAAGGGTTCCACCATGCCAGCCTCGTCTATGTACAGTCTCAACATCAAGCGCGCTAAGCCGCTAAACCTTGCATCATCCTTGCCGGTCAAGCCGACGGACAGTAATTATTGAGGAAGGTGATGGTGGTGGTGCCGCTGCTGCTGCTGCGGCGCTGCTGCTGCTGCAGCTTGGCTGGGTCATCCTTTCGCGGTCGTCGACACGTCATTTCAGTCAAAATCGTCGTCGTCGTCGTCGAGCGTACTGTCAGCACCACAGTTCATTCAAACAGGTTGGGCGGCAAACGTGCGGCCGTTACTCAATCAGCGTACATGAATCTTGCAAAGGCACCCATTCCCCTGCCATCTGCCCAAACATGTGCTGACATGCAGCTTGACCGCCGTCCTCCACCTTGTCCAGAACGAATATCATCAGAAACGACGCGACGGACAGGAAGAGCGCTATGGACTTGGCGGCATCTTTGCTGACAACGTCATGCTACAACCTCAAAGTGTCTAGACTTTTATTCAGGAGGTATCGTCAGATGAAATCACTCCCTGATCACTGGTGCATCGACCAACGCCCACCCGCAACACCTATCCTGTCCTCAAGGAGTGCCATGCGAATGCACGAATGACCCAGGTTTGCAAGGATTTCTAGATCGCATCATTTCACCCGTACCTCCCATCCCTTTCCCTTGCGAACTCACAAGGTCAAAGGTCTGCTGCGAGCTGCATACAGCGTACCGTACTGCACTCTGATTGGTGAAGAGTACATCAGCAGTAGGTCGCCGGCAACCATTAAGAGGGCATTCTCCTGACCAGCTCGGTGCACAGGCACTGACCCGTTGCAAGCGAACATGACGTGACGCAAGATCAGAATATGCGTTGCTAGTTTTTCCGACAACATGTCCCTCAGACACCCTGCACACTCTGGAAACTTCCTACATAGACCTCATCTGCCTGATCCGGTTCCATATTAAGCATGCCGTCAAGCACACACACCCACACCCGCCCCAGTCCCTCCCCTCGGCCGGGAGGGTCGCTATCTATTTATCTTGAATTTGTTGTTTTGCCGTTGCTCTTTGTTACTTAGTTGTTTGTATTTGAGTTTCAAGGTTTAGCGGAAACCACGAAGGGACCAGCATCAAGGTTTTATTCGGGTTAGTGCAGGCTTTTCCGAACAAGTATGCTCTGTGTGATCTCAAAATGTCCGGGATGGCTGGCTCGACATAACTGCAATTCAGAATCGATGCCAAAGTGAGAATACACATCTTTTTCCAGGTCGGCTTCCCTTCTTGGTCAGCTTGAGTACATCCAGGACTCTGCTCAATAATAACTGCCAATCATGATTGACAAAAATTGTCAGTCGGAGGATCCCACGAGCGTGTTCTAAGTGGTATTCGTTGATCGCATCACTCACGGTCGGACTGCATAATATGTCTCGTCCCTGAATGGACCTCAGATGGCCCACATTTTGACGGGACCATTATCAGCTGCCATTCCTGGTCAACTCTTCTGATTGATTCTTGGTTTTAGCTGTCGTGCTTCCTTAACGCACCACCCACTCCTTAGCGAATCCTCCTTTGCTCACCTTGGAACCATGTCTCGGCGGTCTAATTCCGCTGGTGCTCCACACAGTGTGGGTGAGCAGTCTGTGCTGAAGTGGAAACCGGATGCTCTCTCCACATACCTGCATTTCATAGTTGGTTCTGGGCCCTTGCACGTGTAGCTGGGGCATTCCGTGGGTCTCATTGGACACAGACCCAATCCCGGCCATGACACAGTAGTAACTAGTAGTAGCTGGCCGGCTCTTTGTGGCATCAACTTGAAACGAGATTAACAGTGTAAGCCTTGAGCGCCGCAGCGCCGCTCATGGATGGCTTCAAGGGAATGCAGTGCTCGACCGCGTCGCCGTAGCTAGATAGCCTCTTGATTGATTGAGGAATTAGATTGATTGAGTGCCTCAGCCGCCTCAGCCTGTCGAGTGATGGCTGCTTGAGCCTGTTGCTGTTTCTGCAAGACTAAACCCACCAACTGGTGGAATGACAGTTCGAATGATGAGTGCCCGAGTGTTTGTTTGTGACGTTGCAGATCTGAAGCCAGTGTTTCCTGCAAGGTTGTTGCACTGCTCCAGAGTGATTCGACATTCGTTGGTTCGACTGCTGTGGATTCTAGTTGTTTCGTACGGAGATGGAAGCTTGTATGTGATTGCCTGTGCAGGAATATTGTTATCCTTCTGGCGAGGAACGAGAAGGATTTTCTTAGATACACACTCTTCAGTTGTGGTGCATCCCTTGCGCTATCATTGAGAAGTCACCTGCAGAATTTGTCCCTCGGTAACGAGGTTGCACACACGCACGCACACATACACACACAAACATTCGCGCGTGCACACACACACACACACAACACAGTGAGCGTGCTTCAAATCAAATGTCCACTTTGGACGCTCTGGCCACTGCCGTTCTGGATTGTTCTGACATGTTGACAGTGACCCCAAATTGTCGTTCAATGCCATATACAGGTGCAACTTCCTGAATGTGTATGACCGTGAACACTGACACCCACGTCTGGCAAAAATCACAGACGTTCAAAGCACCTTCCGTGGTCTCCTCGCATTACTGCCTTCTCGGGCACCAGTTTCGATAGGACTCTTATCTTCCCGCATCCAGGCAGTTGCAGGCTGGGATATGGATTACGTTGCTCCAAGGTGTACCCTTGGATCACTGGTGTTTTCGCAAGAAAGGTCGACTCAGCACAATGATTCCAGAATAGCTAGTCTAAATAATACTGACTCCCAACTTTCGTCCAAATTGTAGGTGGTCGTTACGAATTCGTCGGCCACTGCACTGATGCTGCCGCACGTTGAGAAGCTGGGAGGCCTGCGGCTAATTCTACGAGTACTGCTCTCAGCCCCTGACATCTGTAAAACGCAGAGCGGACAGTTGCCATCGCACCTTTACAAGCATTCATCTGCACAACTGGGCACGTGGGCACACACATTCGAGCCGTCGTAAGTCTGTGGCGCCATAGAAAAGAGACCAAGACAAACCTTTCGGACAACGTGAGACAAACATCACCGCCTGAAAACAGAGACCCACATGAGTGCAGCGCCGAATGTAAAGTAGTTGTTGAGGATCTCAATTGCCCTCTCCATCCTTTTTGACGGCTCCTTCGAGTTTGGGAGGCCCATTCACGACGCACGCATCAAGCTAACAGCGTCCTCCAACAAACGTTCGGAGTTCAGCACGGCAAGCGACAGCAGAAAAAATACCAATCCTTAACTTGTCGATGTTCTGATATGTTCGAACCTATTCCCAGTGCTGCATACAATGTCCCGGCTTCAACTCGGATTTACCCTGAGCTAGAAGCCGCAGCTCACCAAGAGGTGACACTGCCTCGTCCGAACAGTGGCAAACATCACAGAGTCTAGACTCCAGATCGAAGGTTGTGTGACGTGACGTCAGGCTCGAAGAGAGCTGGTTGAGGAATGCAGTGACACCAAAAGAACCAATGGAGGACAGAAGCCTCAGAGATAGCCCGTCTTCACCTCACTGTCACATCGCCAGTTTGCACGAGCACTTCCATGTCTCAGCCGTGCGTACGGTCTTCTGCGAAGGATCTCAATACCGGGACGGGGTCGGACATTCAAAGCCCGCAACACTCCCGAGATTCCTCGTTTAAACGCCGATGCACCGGCAACTCTCAAATAGTCTTGTGTAAGACCTTCCGCCAGACGGGTGGGAGCACACCACAAACACTGAGCATCATCCCGCCAGGGAGCATGAGAAATGACAGCAGCAACGATTCGCAAGGTTCACATCTATAATTGACTATAATGTTTGATATCTGCAGGACAAGTGAAAGATTCACTTTGCGGATTTCCTTCAGCTTGGAAACGCCTGGCAAAGCTTACATTCCCCCGATGGTGCCAACAGCAGTGGTGGAGACAGATTGCTACTAAGAGCTAGATGCGATGCTCGCGCTTCGCAAAGTTAGTTAGTGCCCAGCCATGGATGCAAGATGTACACCACACTCGCAGCACATGCCAGCACACACCGCAAACAACCCAAGAGCATTGGCAAATTCAACTCAAGTCAGCGCGAGAACTGTGAGAACAAGCACAATGAACATGCTCAGCCGGTACAGGCATTTCCAAATCTGCTAGCTGCCATGCGCCTCGAAGAGTGCGAAATGGCATCAGACCAGCTCTCAATGCCTTAGCTAAACTCAGGCTGAACTGAGTCCTGATTATCCTGGTCTGACAATGGACTGCCGGCAGCGAGATGAAATAATACAGGCGGTGGCACTTTGTGTTTGGATATGACCCTCGCTGCATCCAAACGCCAGATGCTTTTCAATTGGCCGACCCGCCAACCACAGGAATCGGTCTTGCATGTGCAGCTCATCTTGGCACCATACCCTCCTGGTTGGGAAGTATGCCGCTGATGGCATAGCGTAAGGCCTCTCTACTGTATACTTCTTAAACGGGATCTGGCGACAAACGCTCTCTGCGTATGTGTCGCCTGCACGGTGAGGAAGGAAAGGCTCAGACCCGCGACGTCGTTCTCCGCCTCTTCCGTCTCCTGCCAAGGCCACGCTTGGCCACATCCCTTAGCCTCTCTATGCCTCTCTCTTGTCATGTCTACATGCAGTCTACATGCTCTGCTTCTCATCCGTCCTGCCGCCTATCTCGGGACAATGCACTAAAGACTGAGAAACGGTCCTCGTCCCATTTTTCTTCGTACCAGTCCTTTTTATCGTCGTCCATGTGGGCGACCTTCTCTCGCACGACGTCGAAGAAGTGATATCTGTAGCATCGAGCTGATGCGGCATTGGAGTTCATCAGACGTGCGTCTAAGGCAAGCACATGATGCTCAAACCGCAGTAGCCTCAGCAGGGGCTATGCGGCCCCCTAGAGTGACCACTGCGCAAAGATGCGCCAAGCGCATGACGCATGCAAATCTCACAAAGGTGCAAACACTAAGTGATGCCCTTAAGGAGCGTGAGCTCTCCGACTAAAAAGATGCGAAGTGAAGACTCTGGACTCGCAAGGAAAGGAGTGCTGAAACACGGATGACAGTACAAGTAGCACGAGACGAGGCAGACGGGGCATGTGGGAGTGAGGCCCGAAGTCACGGAACACTGGTGTATGCGGATATCGGATAGCTTTATTCGGCATGTCGGCAACAGGGATGCACGAGAATGCACCAAATGCGAAGCTACTTGCAGGAGCTGGCATCGCCCAAGGCTTCCCAGGACCACAGCCTGGAAAGAAAATTGGCCAACTCCGCTTCGACTCAGTAAAACCATAGAAACGCGTTGACCAACGCCATTCCAATCTCCATGCAGGCCGTGCCAGATGCACTGCCTTATGTGGACTTTCTAGCTGGCGGAGTGTAGAAACAAGCTCGCGCAATGATGGTTACCAAGAGCGGCGACCGAAGCGAGTCTCACACAAAGCACGAAGCATTTCGACTGCAACCACCATCGAACAACCGCTGTTTTCAAAACGGTAAACTCTACATGCATGACTAACGAAACGTATAATGTGAAAAACAATCTGTACATGATAGCTATAGAGAATACTAAAGAGAATACTACAAGTAACAAGAATAACGAAAGTGCCAATAATAGGTGCTGGTTTCTAACCCTGTGTCAGGTTCCAGCACATACAGACAATGATGAGTACTAAACGACGACTATCGAATAAACATAATGACAAGTAAGCAAAAACATACGAGCATTGGCGATAAGCATGACATAGTTGTCATCACAGAAACGACAAGAAAAGTAAATATGCAAATATGTATGTATATATATTTATACATATACACATAGATATATGCAAGCCCGTAATCTGTTAGAAACTTTACATAATCCTAATCTGAATATGGCAGCGACCCAAAACGGACCCCAGTTTCGACAACTAGCCATGTACCTATGCTCTGAAAGAGAAGGATTTGACCCGTGACCTCGAACTACGGACTTCGATAAAGCTTTGGGTGGCTGGAGGGGCTGTCCTGGATACAAGATCCGGCTGTTCCACAAACCGAAAAGGCTGCGAGTTGGTGAGAGCGCCTGAGAAAGAGTGACAGTGACAGGGAGAGTGAGAGAGCGCAAAATGAGATCGAGTGTGAGAGTGGGTGTGAAACGAAGAGCGTGGGCGACAGTTCGCTTTCACGCGCTGCAATTCTTAAGCATGGCTGACATGTCTGCCCTTCAAGATGGAGTAAGTGTGCCGTGCCCCTGCTGATTGAGGTCCCACGTGCTCACACACGCTGCAAGTACCTGGAGTTGGGGATCGCTGACGATGGATCCTATGTGTTTCTCAGGCACCTGTTTCGCACACAATCCGCCAGGTTCTGAGTGCGGGAGCAAAAGAAGCCCCTGCACCCTCCCGGCGAGTCCACGCGCAGGTTCCCCAAGTCGCACTGGAATAGATCTCAAATCACTACCTGCATCCTCAACTCGCCTTCGATCGTCTAGATCACATGCCATGCACTGCTGCTCACCCAGTATTTTGACATCACTCAACGTCTGTTATAGTAGTTGCGGATTGTGCTTTCTTCCCCCCTCTCTGCATCTGTCTCTTTCTGAAGCACGTTGCACACGGCCTTGATAGGCTTAATCGCTGCCGCCGGCACGCTGTGTGTGCATGTTAGCTCCGTCAGCTCAGCCAAGTGACCAACCAAGCCGTCCGGCTTGGAGGAGCCGTGCCCTTCCAAGACAACCGCAAAAGACCGTCTGCGTTTCCGTAGGCTGGGGGGCATCTCACTCTCTCTTCGGTGGAAAACCGGACAGAACTGTCCGATCACTGCACAGTTTCAGATTTCGGGCATGGCAGCTTCCGCCAGCACTAGTTAAAGCCTGTAAGCCCTACAAGGCAACGTTTCGAAGTGGAAGGCTCATCGGCCATTCTTTAAGAGATGCTCGACTACGTAGACCCGGCGAATAAATCTATACAGTAGTCTATACATATACAAGGATTCGAAGGATGCAGCTGAAAGCATGTCACTTCTAGCCTGTAACATGTTCTGTTTACGGCCCATTCGACTACTCAGGCAACGAGAGTTTTCGGGCTTCTGCATGGCTGAGAAATGAACTCCAAGAATGACAGGTGTCGCAGGCGCGATCAACATGTTTCATTGTTGACCACTCACTCTCCTCCCGCTGTGTTTGCCCTGCTGTCGATGGTGTCACCGGTTGAGGCACATGCCGATTGGGATGACCAAGAGGGCTTGCAGAAAAGAGCCACTGAAGTACTCCTTCAGACATGACATGGCTGGCAGCTTTCACCTTCATGGTGTTCAACTATTCTTCCGCACGTTATCGGGTGGATGAGGAGTCCTGCTGGATGGAGCCCCATGCCTACAAGGAATGCACGACTTGGCAGTGGCTATGCAAAAAAAAACCTCCTCACACATTGCATGTGTTTGAGAACCGCGCGTTGATAGTTGCAAACCCAGCAACATGCGAGAACAGGACAGACCTCGGCTCCGCAATGAGTGTCATGCCTGATCACTCCATAAAAAGCCTAAGCGGCCCAAAACCAAGGCTCTAGCCAGCTCTTCACGTTCAGCTCAACCTTCTCCTGGTCCGGCCTCGTGCGGGACACAAAGACTCCATACTCTCCAAAGCCCCAGAAAAGTCTCGCCCAAGCTCCAACTTGCCAATGCGTTCTCGGGTCTGGGACCCTGGAATCTGTCGAAGAACACCAGTGCCAAAGCGAGTGCCAGTGAACAGTCGGATTCTGCAAGTCTACTTCGTTGCACATGGAGCACTCACATGCGCTGACACTACCATGAGTCCGTTTCGGTTGAAGAGGGAGGGAGAGAGCGAGAGAGAAAGAGAGGAACCCATTCAAGCTGTGCTGTCCATGCCAAGCATGCTTGAACCGCAATTTCCTACTTTCCTGTCACCCGTCGTCACACAAACGTTCTCGTGCCAACGGTTTGGCTCTCGTCAGGTTCGGGCGGGTCAATGTGCTGCCGGCTGAAAACAGAACCAGTGGCAGAAAAATGCTGCACAAATCGAGCAGCACGCAGTCCAGGGAAGCCTGACCCTCCATCCCGCGGATGCGTCGAGCAGCAGGCAGCTGAGCGTGTCACTCGGCGCCAAAGTACTCGCTCAGCGCACCACTGGTGATCCTCGACTGCCAACGAACTTTCGGAATTCTCTCGCAATGGCAGAGGAATCAGATGTTACCCAAAGCGCAGCTCGAGAGGAAGCTTGTGCTCTCACTTTCAATCTTGAACTGCCGGTGCTTCCAGGAGCTCACTGGGGCACTGCTTTCCTTGAGAAAATCGCGTGGCTTGTTGTGGCTTGTTCGATGGCTGGAATTGCGCACGTGTCCGAGTCCGCGCCTAAATCCTTGCCGCAACGAGCAGAGCTTTTGAAACACCAGATTGTGTGTACACACCAACCGTCAGAAAACTGTTCTCGACTTTGTTAAGGGATCGTGCTTGCACCTGGTCATACACATGAATACCCAAATAGCGCACCACAGCCGCAGCAGCAAGTGCACCAAGTGTCGCCAGCACAATCTGCATGCAAGTGAGCCAGAAGAGCCTCAAGCGCAAAACGGACCGCAATTGGGCTGCAGCAAGCCGAATGAACGGGCCGAGGCACATTTGACACATGTCAACTGCGACTTCCACAGGAGGTGTGCTGCCTACCAAGTTCAATCTGGCTATCTTCGACCTTGTGATGCATGCAAGCAGAAGGGCAAGAAACTGCAAACCTGCATCCAGCACAAACCGAGATCCGAGATCAGCTCGGTCTCTAAGTTAGACATGGCTCACGCTTGGAAGTTTCGACTGTGTTGCTGTGTTGAGCATCCGCATCGAAGTATACCAAGGTATACTAAGTATACCGATTCCCGATGCATACCCCAAATCCGATATGATCATGTTCCGAAATCTTTGTTTCGACTGATATGGAACGACCTGTGTCACAGACTTCCAAATCTTCAACTCTAGCTTCTTGATGCCTCAAGCCTCAAGCCTAGAATCTTGAAAGACCGGAAAAGGCTCAACGGCGCCACCCCTCTAGACCCTAACTGCCTCTACTGCTTAACTTAGAAGCATCTCCAAGTCCCAATTCCCACAAGCTAGGACTCGGTAGAGGGAGGGCCTGAACGCTTTGGGCGGCTCAGGATTGAACCCGGGATTCCATTACTTGCACGCGTGAGGCGATGGATGAATCTGTTCTTGCTAGAAATTGGGGAATCCCACAGTAGGCAAGTCGTTGAGGATGCCATGACGTGCTGGGCAAGCTTGCGTCTTGACTGGGGCACGATGACTCAGGCCGCAATGAAGCCCTTCCAAGCGTTGCCAATATCTGCACAACATGCAGATCCTAGATCTGCTGATGGTGACATATGGTGACCATTGCATGAGCAAAGGAGCAACTCGCGCAATGCGTGTGCGTGCAGGCGACGCGTCCATCAGCGTCTTGTCAGGCAACAGTCAAACATGGCGAGGCTCTGTAAATCGTAGTGCAGGTTTGGACGGAGCCCACCATAAAGCACAAGTGTGCGAACACCACGAAAGCCACAGGCTTCTCTAACATTGCCTGTCGACTCGTTCTGAAAACTGACGAAGGAATCTCGGGGCGTGCAAATGCAGCAAATGCACGTCTTATATTTCGCTGCGCACAAACCGTCAAAGTTAAGCAGAAACTGTGCTTTCGATGTCATGCTGACCCACCGGCGCCTTTGATGAAGTGCTCCTGACAGTAGCAAACGCCGGCACTATGCATGAACTCAACTAACTAAGCATAATTTCGAAGCCGTCCTCCACAAGACCATTGCAGCCTTGGAAAAGCAGCACCTGGTTTCAGGAACAAGCACGAACGCCAGTGCCAGAAATAGTTTCAGTCGCAAAAAGCGTCTCGTTGTGACATTGTGATGCAGTGAGAGATTCTGAGCAGCCGGCAGCACAGAAAATGGAGATAGTCTGGCTAATAACCTGCTGCACAACCATCAGCAGTGGTTACAACAGGAGGCAAAGGGAGAACAAAGAGACATGTTGTCACATGTTGCCACGAAGCCAGGCAACAAGCCGGAATGAAAGCGGAAAAACACAAGCGTAGACGGCGCCTGATTGAAACACATTGAAGCACGATGCAGGCAGGTGCACGGAAACGCACGGCTAGCTGGCTGCAAACTCGACAAAGTGCCCAAGCCATACACATGCAAAGCGAACCGAGGAGACAGGTAGCAAGACAAAGCACATCCAAGGCCAACAACAGATCAGGAGCCCCTGCAGCACAACACAAGCAATGCTTGGAGACAGAAGCCTCAGCCCAGAAGCATCTAGAATATAATAGGCTTGCACCGCCAGAACGTGGTTCGGTACCCTCGGCAGTTTTGAGGCTGCGGCCTGCCAGGAATACCGCTGGATGTCGCGATCAGGCCAATTCACCAAGTAGAACATCAGCATCTGAAACCTCAAACTCTCCATACACCAGCTAGGCAGAATCTGTTGAGCATCCCTGTCGAAAATCACTGCCGCGGTGGTTTCGATCCTGCTTCGCCGGCCGCCCTACTTGTTGCATTGCTCGCAGGGCGAATGCTTGCAGTGAATGCTCTGTCAACGCTGCTTGGCAGGTCATCTTTCTGATTTTAACACGTGCAGCCGTGCAAAGACTCTGCGATGAAGGCACTGCATGTCGCAAATCTAGCTGCGATGCCATCGGCAGCACGAGCTCTTTTGTTTCCCCGGTTCTGATCTAAGTTTTACCTGGCAGGTGTTCTGCTTGTCCCACTACAGCTTCCCTATCTACCTAACGTTGGTCGCAAGTACTTTGAGGACACGACAAACAATAGCTTCCTTACCGCCCATAGTTAATCGTTCACAATGCAGTTTAATTGCTCGTATCAGCTGGTTCACTATGGAACAACCCCGACTCGCCGGCTGTCTGACCGATTGTCTAAATCACAATGCGCCACTGTATGCAACTGTCAAACAGCAAACGTGAACACAATACCCCTGGGCATAGTTACATAGATAGTGACATGGTAGTGACCGCACGGACGTGCATGCTGACAAACACCGAGCGAAAGAGAGAGAGCGAGAGACAGAGCACGAGAAGCAGAGATAAAAATAAGAGAGAGAACTGGAGAGCTAGAGAGAAAGGGAGAGACAGAAAAAGGAAGAACCGGCACTGGCAAGTTGGGGCGCGCACCCAATGCTCCCCATCAACATGACCTCGACCATGCCAGATGTCGCATGCAAGATGCAAGCAACTGATGGTCGCATGCTGGAACGTGCAAACCATGTCCCACTTCCATTGGCATGGTAGGAACGGTGGTGGGGATGACGCCATGATGGTGATGACTGTGATTGCGAAAGGGACCACGGCTAGGCTAAGAAAGTGGAGAACTAACTAAGATGGGAGCATACGACAATTTAAAGGGTTTGATAAGAATGCTCCCCTCATTCTGAAAATTTCATGCTCAGTTCCAATCCCTTCCGACCCTTCCACCAATGCACGACACTTTCCTGGTCACCTTCTTCCGAAACCTTCTTCAATTATTAAGTTTGGACGGAAAAATCACGATTATTTCGAAGAACTCTCGAGCTTTGAGCATCGATTTGTCATCCAGCACCAAGGTTTTAAAGCTGTTTGTAAAAACATTGTTCATGCCAATGTCGAACCTCAACTGCACACACACTCTGACGGCACAATTATTCTGAGCATGTCTGGTTACACTGCATGGACACATGTTCCGAACCGCACAGACATTAGAACAGATAAAAGAGCGAAGAAGAAACACACGTACAAGTGTCATACATCGGCCTACAGGAATGATGGGGCATATTTATGTAAAATTGAATGAAGCATGAACGAGAAGAAGAACCCTGCTCACCGAGGTTTGAAAGTCATATATATCCTACCAATACCAGTGCCAATGTGCTGCGGAACGTCTTGCCCGAAGGCCTGTTATTGTCATCATTTTGACCACGGCAACACCATTTTACCTTTTCTTTGACCACCGCATGTCAGTCACAACATGTCACAACCAAGCTCTTGTGGCGTGGCGAACACGGGTTGTCCCGTAGCCGGGCATTGCGTGGCGCAGCCACCTCACAGGGCGCGGGGGCGGTCCCAGGACCAATTCTAACGAGGCACGGCACACTCGCAACACTTCTGCTCGCAGGGTCTTTACGGAGAAGTTTGACGATTATGCTTCACTCCTGGACTTCCTGGATACTGATCTGCCGTTCCTGTCAACCTCATCAGGACGTGGTGGTGCGGCTGATGGCGAAAGCTTTCGAAAGCCACACCATTCGCCACCAAATACAAATGCCGCGGCTGACGCGCTTTTACGGGCAAGCAGCATTGCTTGCCGCATGCGCATGTGCCTCCTTCCGCAGCGCTCCCGGAGCTGGTTTCCCTTGGGACCAGCCTCTTGCAGTTGATGCTGGGCGCCTTTTCTTATATACCGTTCTGAGCGCTCTTGTGGATGGTGTGATGTCCTCAAATGCCGCATCGATCAGCTAAATATCTGCCCTGCATTTCCATCTGGCCGCCGTTCTTATGGTGACCCTTCGCATGGTCTCTCTCTTTTCGGTCTGGCTCTCTTTGGCGGCGGTGCCTGGGCGTCGTCATTTGTAACTGTTTGTAGAGCTCGAAGAGGGGATGCAGATGACGGTAGGGCTTTCCTGTTTGTTCCCAACAAGACTTTAAACTTCGACATTGAGTGACATTGAGGTTGCCGCGATCGTGTTTTGTGGTCAATCTCAGGAGCTGTGACTTTGGCTGTTGTCCTCCTTTGTCTGCAAGTCTCACGTTGGTGGCGATGTCTGGCTAATCTAACTGGTTTTGGGCTTGAGCCCTAAATTCTTTCTGCGGGTCTTTCTACGCCTTCAAAGCCCTCTTGCAGATGGCACCTGGGGCACCATGGTGCGTGTGGCGTTGCCGGCGTTGCCTTTTAAGTATGCGCTGCGTCGGCTGTAGGCCTCGGCTCCACCAGCAAAATTAGCGGTCAGCTCGAAGATCGTCTCCTGCGCGTGGGGAGCCTGAGAAAGTGGCCCCAGCAAAAAGCTTGAGAACTGAAATCAGGCGCGCAGAACACACGGTTCAGTGGCGTTCAGTGCAGACGATACAAGGCGGCGAGAAACGCAGGGCGTCTTTCCTTTCCACCGGGTTGACTGCGTGGGCAAACAGCTGTGGTGTGAGGCATAAACAGTGCCTTGCTGTCGAAGTTCAAGTATATATGTAAAGGCACGCCTCGGAAAATAAGGTCGATGACAGCCAGGACGATCCTCCCGAGAAGAAGTCAAGTCCGAGGAACGAGGAGAGGCCATGGTCAGAGCAACGACGGCCTGCGCGAGGCATAGCGAGCTTCGGGATGGGGATGGTCACCCGGCTGCGCCGATTGCGTCGACGTCGCTGCTATTCCGGGTTGCGCTCCACCGTTATCCGGTCCGGCCCGCTGTTGCATGCCCAGCACTTATCTGCAATTACGCGGTTGTCCTGGCAGGAACGGGAGCTACTTTATCAGCTTTGCTCGTCGCGGAGGAGCGTTGGACTTCGCTGTTCGCCGGCTTTGGTGTCGCGATGCTCCAGGCGTCATGCGCTGTGGGACCGGAGGTGTGCCAGGTTTGGGGGGGATCCAGGATATGCACGCAAAGCTCCTGGGTATGCAAATATACAAACCCAGAAAAGTCGAGTGTTGCGGACGCGTGATCAAAGAACGCGGATCCACTTCCACTGTGCTCCACACGGCCGGCCACAGGCCTCAGAGTTCACAATAACCATGAACGGAGGAACAATGACAACTTACAACCTGCGACTTAAGTCTGTACCCCATGCCCACGTATGGCAATCACGAATCTCTGTCGTGGTCAAAAACGTCCGTAGCCAGTTACATGTCCATCGGACAGGCACAATGCTGCTGCTTCAATGCATGGTGACAAGCTTCGCCCTCTCGCATGAAGAGTCGATAGTAGGTGGGATCCCAAATTTGATTGAAAGCTCTTGAAGATAAAGCTCTTGAAGATATTTTTGCCATTCAGGCCATGATTAGCAAGAACGAACTTGCTGATTGTTTGACACGCATGCTCTTGACACTGTGCAAAGTCTTTGCCGCTTATTACTGTAGCAGCACGCAACGCAAAACTTCACACTTCTTGCTCACTATGCCCTTTGAGTCTCGTGGCATGCTTCTGCAGAGTATTCTCGCTAGTATGCTCGTGTCCGTCCAGTTGGCATACTGAATGTCTTCATTGACACTTCTGCACGACATGCGAAGCCCTTGCTGATGTTGCATCATTGTAACCGCAGGTGAATAACTTTCTGCACAAGGAGCTGATGGGATCTCAGCTTTCGGAGAAACGGTGCGGCTTCAGGAGGCTGAAGAATTTGGAAGTGGTGATGACATGTGATGAGGCCCACACTGGGCTCTTTGGTGCGGACCCCACTTCTAATCTCAATGTGTTCGAGGCGATGTTGCGATCTCGCAAACCGGCGACAGATCTTCCCTTAAAACTCAACTCTTGACTCGTTGGTTTTGGGAGGAAGCAACATTAAACGCAAAAATCAGGGCTACCCCTGCTAGACACGGCACCGAAAGGGAACGCCGCTGTGGCTGTGAACACACTTGACACATATCCGTGTCGGCAATTTCAAGTGTATTCATGGTGTGTAGGCTTAGCCCTTTGCCATACAAGGTACTCGAAGAACATCTCACAGATAGCGAAACATGTTTGTCACCATTTCCACCCGAAGGCAACGCTGGTTAGGGGTAATTTGAGTCGCCGTGCAGGCGCACAACACGACGTCTCCCGAAGCATCACGAGAGAAAATGAGCATCTTTGCTCGCAGCGATCCTTTGTTGCACCCTGCAAGTCTGAATCAAAGATTATTGCACCGGCCCTCCGAAGGAACAGGGTGGGACACACACGCACACACATGCACGCACGTCAGGTGTTCCTCAAACCCTTCAGAAACAAGCAATATCAGGAGCCCGTTTTAATTTTGCCTGTTTGGACAAGGTCTTGAAGGTACATTGGGGAACTTGAGTCGATCAGTGTTTAAGAAGCAAAAGCTCGCCCCTGCACGACTTTACACAGTCAAATGGTCTGTGTGGCATTCATGGCTTTGCACGCCTTGAGCTTGAGTGCACAAGGATACACCGACTGAGGACCGTGCAGATATTGCAATCGCCACTGGGCTGGACCCCTCCTCATGTATAGTGCCGCAGGCCACGCGACTCCCACTCTCAGATCTCTGAGCTTTCGCTGTCTCATTCCTGGTTTTGTTTTTATCCCTCCCTCCATCCCCCACTGTCGGGCCATGGGCTAGCATGGCTCGATGGCCCACTCTCAGTTTCTCTCTTTCTTGCTTGCTTGCCTGCTTGCTGCCCGTATAGGCTCGTTTCAACACTCCCCCTGCGCAGAAGCCTTACTTGCCTTTTGTTTGTCTACCTCTCTCTCTCTCTCTCTTTCTCCCTATC